TATATATATACGCGTATGTAAAAGTAAGTTTAAAAGATACTGAACATATCTTGTAAAGTCACGTAGCATCACATTTTTAAACAAACGGAGACTCGAGAGTACCGCCATTCTATTGTTAACCACCGACCGTGCGTTCCCATTCGAAACTCACCCCTCGATCGGTCGACCGGCGCGGTTCGTTCTCTCTTTTTTCAATGTTGTAAATAAACGCGTGAAGAAAATAAGATACACTGATAATAATAATTAAGAACGTAAAGAATAGAAAGATATATATATAGGGTGATATATGTGATTTTCAAATGGACTCGCGTTCCGATCGATCGGTCGCGGAGTTTTGAGACGAGCGGAACACACGCGTATGGTTGCATTATTAACATACTTTTTAAATATTATTACGTAGCGATATACTACTGTTATTTGTAAAGATAAACTGGTAAATGAAAGAAATAGTCGTTTACGTCGTACCGTTGAACGAGGAAAACAAAAAGGGGAAAGTGCAGACGGTTTGAATAGTTGAACGCCCAGTGAGAGTACTAAATGGGCGTCGAAAAAGAAGAAGAAGTGTGTAAGGAGGGTTTTAAAATAGAAGGAACAGCGACTACTCGTATATGTAATCGATATCGAAGTTAAACGTAACCGCATAACGTGCTACATAGATATTGTTACTATTAAACAGAACAGACACACACAAGAAGAACAGATAAATATATTACGGCGTATTCTAGTTCTGTACGTTTAAGTAGACGATGATAAATCCGCGAAGAAGACAGAAAGGAAAGTGAATCCCTTTTCTTTCTGGCGCATAGTGCCATTTCTCATCGATTTTTAAGAAGACACGAATCAATCAATTCGTTACGTTCGTACTTTCGCTTCTTCCTTTCTTTATTTTCTATTGTTGCTTTCTCGAATCCGTTCTCGCGTCCCCTCGTTCTATTCTTTTCTCCGTTTAACGTTCACTAGACTTTCTTTAAGTGCCGAAAACCCGTGATTCTATATAGTTGGTCGTTTGTGTCGCGAGATTGCCAAAATGGTCGTATGTCCATGGAATTATCCGGTTTTTCATAAACTCCGGTGCGAGGAAGAATGGTACAATAACGGACACGCCTGATTAAATAGGAATAGTAATCGGAACTTCCGGTCCGATAGTTCTTGCGTGAAAATCGGGCACGTCGCGACTTCGTTCTCGTTTAACTTTCGATTTTTCCTTCACCCGACGTCAGCTTCGAGAAGCGTCTCGTGGGAAGAATAGATTTTTCACAAATCCACGTTTCAATATCGTTTGACGTTGCTACAGCTGAACGAACGCGGAACTTTGAACGAATCCTCATCGCTACCAGTTGCCCGATTTAAACGTAACGCCGTTTATACACATTTCTTTGGTGCTCGACATATCCGGTCGTTGTTACATGTTATATTACTGTCAATAGACTATAATAATATTAACAATAATAATAATCATGATAAATCCTCGTCAAGATCATCGATCACCGCGATCATTACTATTTACTATTACCGTAATTACTACAACTATTACCACGATCACCACTATTACTATTAATGCTATTGCTACTATTACTACTATTACTACTATTATTATTATTATTATTATTTGTATTATTGATACTGATCACAAAGGACCATACGCGCCGTATCGCCTATCGCTCGGTCAGTATAAGATCTTTGCAGCAGTTAATAATAATAATAATCGATGTGATCATCGCCATTAAGCCCCTGTGCACATCACTAAACGAAACTTGGCTACACTTCTCGTCGGGGCATCGGTTCTACGGTTCTTCTATACCATTTTCCGACGATACTTACTCGATGGGCAGAGACACGTGGCGTGCCGATTTTTAACCGAGGGGTCGAGAGTTACGCTCGTTTAAAATTTCACGCTCTTAATATAATGTTGTCAATCGTTTCACGCTGTCAACGAGAGGAATCAAAGTCGATACTGCCCAGTTCATCGGATTCGACAATTTCGGAAACTAAGATTGAGCGACGGTCGCGTTTAGAAGGAAAAATTATTTAGAATTAAAAATCATCGAAATCGGTGAAGCCGTCCGCTTTTTAACACCCGAATTTTAATCACGCGTAACGTTCGAACAAACGTATTTAGGCATGTTTCGTCTGTACCCATCCGAGTACTGTGTATCAGAAAATATAGAAGAAAAGTTGAAGAAAGAAAGCGATGTCCTGAAACGAAGTTTTACCAAAAACTCTCTCTTTCTCTTTCTCTCTCTCTCTCACTCTCACTCTCTCTCTCTCTCTCTCTCTATCTCTGTTTGTTTCCTACACACAGCAACGTTACACGCGTATCGAGCGCATATATGAAATCTAGACACGGACATAAGGCTATACACACACGTACACTCGCACGCGCGCGGGCGGGCGGAACATTGTAATACACGCATCGTCGTTATATTTTCAATGTATCAGCATAATGATATATGATGTTTCCCATAGAATACATTTTATTTGGTTTTTACATTTGGCAGTATTTTATTTGAGCGTCGCTCGAGCACGTGCGAACGATCAGTTCATCGACTTTGATCGTCTAGTTAAAAGAACGACGAGGTTCGCAAGTGTTCGAAAAACGCGATCCAATACCAACGCGAAAACAGACGAATTGACGATCTTTCATTACTTGTAACATAATCTGTACAGTAAAGCATGATCTTTACAAACTCGATTTGTTACGAATAGTTTTCTTTAGACGTAGGGATCTTAAATACGTTTGATATATTTGTTAAAAAATAAGAGGACCCTCTGTATTTTATACCGAACAGATATTTGGACGCGATTAATTTATCAATTATATATACGAAACGTATATGAAAATTATAATTGTTTCCTTTGGGAGAACTGTTTCTTTTAAATATATCGATTATCCTTGTCGAGCGATTTATTCTTTGCACAAACGACATGCATAATCAGGGTCACTATTATAAGAGGAAGATACGTACGTAACATATGATATAAAGAGGCGTTTAAAGTACGACACTCCCCTGCGATATTGGATACGACATCGAGAGGTACATATATTTATATATTTGCAATGCGACTAAATGAAATCATTCGTTTCCTGTGTATTCTTGTATGAATTACTAAAAGTGTCTTCTCAACGGACGTGTGCGAATCGAGTCGAACGTTGTCACAGACGTTGAGAACTGAGTACAATATTTTTAATAGACCAAGTATCGCGTCGTAATCGGAGGTTCGAAGTTAGAGGGTAACGATTCGCACACGTTCCATTGGATCGCATCTGTGGTAGAATCTACGCCGACTCTACGACGTGCCTGTCACTGTGCCCATGTTTGCGCCATCGTCTAATTCTTACGTTCGACGTTCATGATCGTGTCTCGTTTCATTGTTAATTGTCCGCTTCGTGATTGTCCCTTCCTCTTTACAATCGTCGATCGATCATATTGAGAATCACGACGATGATATAAGTGTGTACAACGTGTATACCTGTTCGATGTCGCTCGATCATTCACATCTGATCTCGACTTCTACGTTCTACCGAATTTCATTTCCCAGCGACGAATCTTTCTACTGCATTTGTATAAAACCGTGCACACATACACCCCCACACACACACGCATACGACGAACACATGACGGAGATCCATTATTAACCACAACGTGGTATTCAATACGATAGCGTAATCGGTGTAACGAGACACGCAGGGAAGCGATTGAGTGACACACAAATACGCATTTTTTGCACCGACGTACTGACACAACTTTCATTGTGACGTCCACTAATGTAACTCGTACGATCGTGAATATGTAAAGATCCAGAGATCGTATCGTTTCTAATTAAGAAGGTAGTGACCGAACGCTACCGAGAAACGTGTTCTTTTATCGTCGCTTTGTCAATGATCTTCGCGTCTTTTATGTACGTAAAGAAAAAAAAAGGTATTTTCGGAACAATCGACGAATGACCATTTTTCAAAATGTTCTTGATTTCATACGAGTTCGGCGGCCGAAATAGGCGCGACTTTAAACGATCGTTAGTAAGTAATTTGAATTATTTTTAAAGATTGAACCTGCGAACATTTTACATATGCACGATCGTACTTTGTCCTCTGTAGAAATGCCTTATTGTCACGTGCCTCAATTAACAATTAAACTGTTCACCTGCTTACCAATTACTTGTTAGTTGTACGTAACAACAAATATGTACGTGTAATATCGCGTTATTCTTTGTACTGCTCTTGTAAATATATTCTGAACGATTACTGTCACTTCGTGTCGTTTGTGAATTTGACCGCTCTCTTCGAAACGACTCATACACCCTCTCTTTCTCTCTGTCCTTCGCTTGTTTCGATCATTTACTTTCATCATGTACTTTCTAATTAGTTCGTCAACATTGCCAAATTGTTTCTCGTAAACCGTATTGTTTGCATGCATGTTCGTAAATCATTTTCTAACGCGATATTTAAAGGAAGAGTCTTGTTTCGTTGGAAGGATCGTGACCATCGTGATCAAATGGATGCCTGAATTAATTCAGATAGTCGATTCAGCTTGTCGAAAGTAAACGCAAACGAGGCAGCGTCGTTTTGAAGAAACGTCGATCGTGCCTGATGACTCCCCCGTCTCTCCATGGTCTCTCCTGCCCCTTGCTGGCCTCTCCCGTCTCTCTATGGTCTCTCCTGCTCCTTGCTGGTCTCTCCCGTCTCTCTATGGTCTCTCCTGTCCCTTGCTGGTCTCTCCCGTCTCTCCATAGTCTCTCCTGTCCCTTGCTGTTCTCTCCCGTCAAGATATCTCAGTGAAACGCTTCGAGACATCGGGATGGCTTGAAATTTCTTAGTCACTCGTTAAAATTATTATTGATCAGTCTGTGGCGGGTCTCTCACGTCGAGATATCTTAGTAAAACGTGAGACGTAATCACACAACCGTGTCATTACATGGATATGTCATCATATTTCTGACAGATGGACTACAACTTTCGTCTGAAACATTTTTCTCAGGTTGCTCTTGATCATCATCAGGTGCCTCTCAATCAACAAGGACCAGAACCTCCAGAAATAATAAGGAGTTACAACGAAGTTATCGCATGCTCTATTATTAAAATACGATACTCTTTGTAAAATATGATATAACTTTTAAAATTGCATTAATAAAGATATAGATTAAATAAAATCGAAACGTCTTGTTACTTAGCTTTAACTTTATCCACGTCCAATCCCTTCTCCATGCCATCTTCACTTAGTATAAGTAGAAATAAGATAGAATAGAAATTTTAAAAATTCTTGGAATCGTGACGTCACAGCAAGAGTTAGTGCTACCTCCTATATTGTCATATTCTCCTGATACAAAGTCCATTTTTCGATCAAAAGTTTTGCTCTCCGAGAATTCTTGGAAGTGACGTCATCAGTAGTAGTTAGTGCTACCTCCTATGCTATCATATTCTCCTGATACAAAGTTCTATTTTCGAGAAAAATTTTGGTCTCCGAGAATTCTTGGAAATGACGTCATCACCAGGAGTTAGTGCTACCTCCTACCAACTCATATTCTCCTAATACAAAGTCCAATTTCAAGCAAAATTTTTCTCCAAAATCGGACTTTGTATTAGGAGAATATGAGTTGGTAGGAGGTAGCACTAAATTAGTTAGTGGTACCTCCTATCACTTTATATTCTCCTAATACAAAGTGAAATTTTCGACAAAATTTTTGCCTGAATTTGGACTTTGTATTAGGAGAATATAAAGTGATAGGAGGTAGTAGCACTAACTCTGAGTGATGACGTCATTTCCAAGAATTCTCGGAGACCGAAAATTTTTCTCCAAAATTGAACTTTGTATTAGGAGAATATGAGTTGGTAGGAGGTAGCACTAACTACTACTGATGACGTCACTTCCAAGAATTCTCGGAGAGCAAAACTTTTGATCGAAAAATGGACTTTGTATCAGGAGAACATGACAATATAGGAGGTAGCATTAACTCTTGCTGTGACGTCACGATTCCAAGAATTCTAGAAGAGCAACAATTTTGTCGAAAATTTAACTATGTATTAGGAGAATATGATAGCACAAGAGGTAGCACTAATTCCTATTGATGACGTCATTTCCAAGAATTCCGCATTGCTGAATTTGACGTACTTATACAACTAATTTAATAGCGACCAGGACTGTTATTTCGAGTTATAGTTCTCGCTAAGGAATGGGTGTTGGTTATTCCAGGAGTAGCGGACAGGTAATTAAATAGACAGTAAGTTAAGTATATGTTTAACAAGATCTTTATTTCACTTTTAAACGACTGACAAGATACAAAAATCTTACATTTATAAAATATTTTAAGACTAACTTGTAGTAATGTACAATGAAATTATATACTTGTAACCGATTATTCATCTTAATTGATATATAAGGGTGATTTCCTCTCTGGTATCATCTCCTCGGTGCACAATGCACATGGCTTTTGAATGTTTAGTGCCAGGAAATCACACGATATACCCATCACTGATCCAAGGAGATCCATGATACAAAATCTGGCTAACAGCTGATGGCAGATAAACATGGTCGAAAAAAAGATTTCCAACTTTGTAAGATATCAAACCCTATAAAATGAATTTATATCGTTCAACTGAATGGAAGATTTTGGTATGCGTAAGTTAAAAGGGTCTGCGTTCCATGTTTTACGACAAGACGGAAGCCGAGAGAGCAAGCCTGCCCTTAACCTTACGTATCACAAGCTCTAACAAATTAACTTTTTCTCATGACAAGGGAATACCAAGAAATTGCTTATTATATCTTAACTAACTTACACCTGATCTGGCGCCTCGAGGATAAAAAACTTACGGTGAAAGTAAGTAGTGTGAATTAAAATGGAATACATGACACTGTGACACTGGATTCACGAGAGATCGAACAATACTGAATTTAGTGAATAGTTGAATTAAAAAATAGTCTTAAGACAATGTCTCGTATTTCGATCGTTAATTAAACGATGTAGAGCCTGCGTCCATCTGAACAAGACTGTTAGCTCTCACACTTCTCATTAAGGGATTGTACAAATGATTTCGCAATCTTCTGCAATTACTTCTCATTGCGTAAGATATTGTGCAAAATATTTGTAGGATTACGATTTGATAAAAGATCTATCTAAAAATATCGTAACATTTTTATAATCATGTCATCGCCGGTTGAACCAGAACCATCCGATTCAGCGACAAACGAGATTAAAGAGAAACAACTGAGCAAACCAAGACGCAAACCGTCCGCGCCGAGAAGAAAGGAAATCACGTTCGGTACGCGTTTAGAGATAATACAGAAGCTGGAAAAAGGAGCGACGATCCAAGAGCTGATGGTCGAGTATGGACTCCACCAGAAGACCATACAGCGTTATCAAAGGAACGTAAAATCGCTCCGGGAAATTTCCAAATGCCCGCAGAATCTGACCATGATGAGGAAGCCGAGGGACCTATTCGAGGATATATCCGTTCGATTGTACGAATGGGTCATGGACGAACGGAAAAAGGGGAAAGTCTGGATCACCGATAGCATGCTACAGAAGAAGGCGAAGGAGTTTCACGAGAGCAAGTTTGGTAGCGCGCTGGCGTCCAAGTTCGTCGCGAGCGGAGGCGGTCGAGGCTGGTTATACCGTTTCAAGCAAAGATACAACGTGTTCCCTAATTACGTTCACGAGACGATAATCAATGACAGTGAATTGACGACGAAGCAACTGTCCAAGCTGATAAGCGAACTGAACATGGACAAAGAGGACGTTTATATAATGCATAAAACATGTTTGCTATGGAAAAAATTCCCGAAAAAGATAAACCCAAACATTAAACTGCCGGTGAAAAATGGTACGAAGGATTATATCGCTCTGGCGTTCTGCGCGAATATCGTCGGCACGCATAAACTCCCGTTGCTCTTTGTCCATAAATACGCCGTCCCGCCGTCTTTAAAGAATTGTAAAGATCCTCTGCCGGTTATATATAAACATCAGTTGTACACGTCTATTGATAAAAACCTTTTTAACGATTGGTACGTGAATCATTTTCAATGTAGCGTGAGGCAACGTCAAAAGGAGAATCGTCGTACAGGGAAAGTGATGCTGCTGATTAACAATTTTAAAACCGATATATCTTATGTAAAAATGTTCGACAGCTCGGATTTTAAGTTGATCGTCCTCCCGCCTTACACGACCTCCGCGATTCTGCCAATAAGTACTAAATGTAAAAAATTGTTTTGGCACAAATTACTACAACAGCTGAACGAATGTAGCGAGGGTATCGATAAATTTTCTTATACTATAAAGGACTGTATATTCTTAATCAGCGAAGCTTGGAACGAAATCACGCGCGCGGACTTTGAAGTATCTTGGCAGAAATTTTTAGGTGACCAGGAGGTGAGAGCCGAAGATACGAAGAGTCGACCGGATTTTGAAACTGTCTTCGTCCAAGGCGAACCCGAGGTGAAGGAAAATGTTGATTCTGAACAAATGGAATCGTTGTCTTCCTGTGACGATACGTTGAAAGTCGAGGAACTTCATTTGGACGAGGACGTGCAGACCAATGAATGGACTGTTAAATTGGAGGAGAAGGAAGTCGTTCGCATGTTCCATAATTTAGAAATCTGGGCCGAGACCCAATCCGACTTTATTAAATCGTGCGCGAAAGTCTTGATAAATTATTATAACGAACGATGACACTGCACGCAATAAAGATCTTCCTAATCGAGTTGACTGCCGACCGAACAGAATGATTTTTATGACAGCGAAACCCGTTTACCGCTTCCTGAACCTGAACGTCCAAGTCCATTGAGAAAGTCAAATTTCTTACCAGAATCTCTGTATCGTTCCAACGAGTTTATATGAGTATTATTAAATATGAAAACTTTTATTTCCTTCGTTATAAAAACCACTATAATAACTTGATACAAAACGCTTTTTTAATAATTGTGCAATAGATTATTTTACAATGTTCAATTTTTAAAAGAATAACCAACAGTATAAAGTAATTATAAAAGAAGTAATGAAGGGATTTATTTATATTGCTTTGAAAAACGAAAATTCAACAAAAATTACGTATTACAAATCGCACGTATCTCGATATAGTTTCGTGTCGAATATTTGTTCGAATGATAGTTCGTGAAAAATTTGATTCGATCAGACTTTGAGTAGTTCAATCACTGGATGAAAATAGCAAAATAAACGGTCGTCGATTTTTATATTAGTTATCGTAATACTATTTGTTATAGCGTTATCAGCATCTACTGTATTTATAAATGACTTATGGTAATATGTGTATCATGTAAGTATTATAATATACTACCAATTTTGCGATGACTTAGAATCAACACGTAACTGTCAGTCAGTGCAGTATATGATTTATATTCTTCCTTTTGCCTTGCAAAAACCTGCATCCAAATTATATACGAAGCGTGTGAAAACGGAACGAGATATATATATATATATACACACACACATATATATATATATTTGAAAATGTTACCGTGTAAAATTAATAAATAAGTACAGGGAAGTACAGTATTTCACCAGGAGCTGTATTCAAATTCTTCTTGATCGAATGCTAAGAAAAATCCGACTAGAGTTAGATAGACGATGATGTTACCTGCTAGAGTCAAATAACATGCACCCCATTGTATCTAAAAATAGAAAGAAGAAAACGTGTGTAAATCGATTTTATTTTTATGCCACATTTAAAAGACTCGGACTTACCAATGGATGACTGGCTGGAGACCGAGCTAAAACGATAGGAAGCGCGAACGATGATATGACAAAGCCCATAGTGATGAATACTGCCAATTCCAAACACGGATTAGAACCCCCATGTTCGCTCGTGTGCCGACGTGCAATTATAGTCGGTACTGGTGCCAACACATAGAACAGTACAACGAAAAACGGCCACCACACTCTGGAACAAATAAATGTAGTTAATACATGTTCTTATTATAATTCACGAATACCTTCTATAGATGATCCTCACTTATATGCTGGCAATGCACAACCCAGTATGACAAATGTCATACCAATAGATCCTCCAAATGCCAAAAGTACTAATCTATAAAAAGATTCCTTGTTATAATTTGTATTAGGAAATCCTGGTATCTCTTGCTTAAAACTACTTACGCTGTTTGTTTATTGAAGCCCATCGATTTCAGGGAATGAAAACACAAAATAATTTATTATATATACAATTTAAAATCCCACTATTTGAATTATAAAGGATCTCATGCAAAAGGAGAATGGAAATGACAAGGAGTAAACTCGAATAATGATACACTTTATATATTCAATATTAAATGTATAACAAGATGAGACTTGATGCTTCCAAGAATTTCTACATTTATCAGAAATATTTCAATCGTCTTACACACATCTCACACACAAAAAGATTAAATGTCAACTGTGTAAAATCACAAGAAATAGCGTTCAGAACAGGAAACAAGTAACGAGATCGAGTGTGAAATGGGATTTAAATAAAAACGAAATGATGCACAGGTGTCTATATCGTGTATAAAGGAAGTTAATGAACATGCGTTGCTTATACACAAAATTTTGACAGCGATGACAATAAGAGTAGCAAGGTTATGGTGTGACATGTATCACTTTTTACTTGAACATTATCAATTAATTTTCGCCGATGGTATCGTGCTCTCGAAATTTTAGAACAAAAGTTTGTGTATTTGCTTGATCAATAATATGCCGAATAACCTTTAATCCCAGCCATCATAGACCGATTGAACAAGTAAATATATTTATCGAATTCTCACTCTGAGAATGTCGTGGTCGTGACGTAAACCGTGTAAAGCTTCACCACAACTTTAACAAACTATTTTCAAATTAAATCCTGCTAGATTCATCCGATGAATACGGATTAAAATTGAAACGAGAGAAATATAATTCGTCTTCTTATCGTTATATACATTTTCATTACAAATTGAAACGATGTCTGTAATGCCGGGGCTTTAAATTTTATTCATCTGGATTGATATCTAATATGAGAAACGTCATTCTCCTCAGCGATGATCAAAATGTAGAATAAATTTATATAGGATCTCTTATATATTACATTAACAACATTCTGTATGTAATGTGTAATAATTAAGAGCGGTACGCAGGTTCTCTTCTAAATTCTTGTTCTGTAGTACATGAAATGATTACACGCTCGATTATGACTAATGGAAATCGAAGACTGAGAATTACGAAGATAATTTGAATATTTCGCTTGCTCTGTCAAAAGATCGTGGCCAATAGGATTTGTACGAGTTGTCAAATTGACAGAGATATTGAAAATCTGCCTTCAGGTTTCGACTCTTCAATGGGGGAGTCCAATGCAAGCCATGGAAGTTCAAATGAGAAATGTTCATTGGATCTGGTATAGTGGTGTTGCTGCTGACTCGTAGGTATTGCGATACTGACTGAGTTCTGATCGTGCTTGTGCATTTTCTTTTCCGTTGAAGTCAAAGTGAAATAATGGGTGAACCGAAAAGGTAAGCGAGTTAATAATGAAATACCGTTCGATACTCACAAGAATTTAATTGTGATACTGTTAAAAGAAACGCGATCTATGCAAATAAAACGAATCCATGCTGGCTCCCAATTTTACGTTGTCATCATGTCGACGCAACCGCGTCTTTTTATAGATTTTTATGGAAATAAATAGCGTTCATCGAATTTTATATCGTCAAGCCCAATTCTTCCTTTGGAAGTTCCTATTAATCGCGTTAATTAACTCCGTGACACGAATCGCGCTTATCTTTTTCGCGTGCCGACTGGTCATGGCCGAATACTATACCGAACGTGACAAAGGCATTTTACTGACGTTGATATTTCCTACTGGTCATACGACATTTGTTAAACCTTTAAAAACTCATCGATGCAACCTTTATTTAGTTTTAAGGATTCTTACAGAGACGCAACAGTATTTGAAAGTCACCCATTCTAGGATATCAATTATATCCCTTCGCATTATTTGATAACAATTGCTAACACGGACACATACATATACGTATATCCTGTTTGATTATTAAAGACTGCCTGTACAGACGATTCAAACGTCTTATTTTCCTTTATCTCTTCTTAATGTTTCCCGGAAATGTTTCTATCGGGTCGAATTAATTTCACAATGTAATTCTCGATTTTGTGTACCATCTTTGATATCAGATCATGGAAATAAAGGTAATTAATTTTCATTAAATATCTTACGACATTCAACGATGAATATTATTAAAGTTTAAACATATTAATAATAATTTATATTCTTGTGAAAAAGTTTTTACTTAAGGAAGTATGGACGTGGCTAATATCGAATCAGATTTATTTATCATTAATATAAACAGCCTAACAAGTTCCTTATTATTAATTTACTTATAAGTCGTTTGAATGAATCTTTTAACAGTGAAGATCTGGCAACAGCTATCCTTCGAAAGAAGGACAAACCAAATAGGTTAATAGTAGATGAGGCGATCGCCGATGACAATTCCGTCGTGGCTTTGTCTCAAGCGAAAATGGACGAGCTACAGCTTTTCCGAGGAGACACAGTATTACTGAAAGGCAAACGACGCAAGGAGACTGTGTGCATCGTCCTTTCCGACGATACTTGCCCCGATGAAAAGATTCGCATGAATCGTGTTATAAGAAACAATTTGCGTGTACGCTTGAGCGACGTTGTCTCTGTACAAGCCTGTCCAGAAGTTAAATACGGAAAACGTATCCACGTGCTAGCAATGGATGACACTATAACTGGTCTCACAGGGTAAATCAGTATTTCCAAATATATTCTCTCCCCATGCTGTTTCATCATTTACATCTACACGTTTTTGTCACAGAAACTTATTTGAAGTATATCTGAAACCGTATTTCTTAGAAGCATATCGTCCCGTTCATAAAGACGATACTTTCATTGTACGCGGTGGTATGCGCGTTGTAGAGTTTAAGGTAGTAGAAACAGATCCTGGACCATTTTGTATCGTAGCTCCAGATACAATTATTCACTGCGAAGGAGATCCCATCAAGAGAGAGGTCGGTTCGACATAAATGTTATAGTTTTTTCTATTATTTAGTGTTGTTATCAGAATTAAAAATGTGCACGACACATTGTAGGAGGAGGAAGAGGCACTGAACGCTGCTGGTTACGATGACATCGGCGGTGTTCGCAAACAGTTAGCCCAAATTAAAGAAATGGTAGAACTACCACTGAGACATCCGTCTTTGTTCAAAGCTATCGGCGTTAAACCGCCTCGCGGCATTCTTTTATACGGCCCACCGGGCACAGGAAAGACTCTCATCGCTCGTGCTGTTGCAAACGAAACAGGAGCGTTCTTCTTCCTTATTAACGGTACGTTTTATTATTAAAGAAATTAATGTCTACTTTGAATTGTCATACGTTCGTTCTTGTTAACAGGCCCCGAGATCATGAGCAAGCTTGCCGGAGAGTCTGAAAGTAATTTGAGAAAGGCGTTCGAAGAAGCTGACGAATCAGATTTATTTATCATTAATATAAACAGCCTAACAAGTTCCTTATTATTAATTTACTTATAAGTCGTTTGAATGAATCTTTTAACAGTGAAGATCTGGCAACAGCTATCCTTCGAAAGAAGGACAAACCAAATAGGTTAATAGTAGATGAGGCGATCGCCGATGACAATTCCGTCGTGGCTTTGTCTCAAGCGAAAATGGACGAGCTACAGCTTTTCCGAGGAGACACAGTATTACTGAAAGGCAAACGACGCAAGGAGACTGTGTGCATCGTCCTTTCCGACGATACTTGCCCCGATGAAAAGATTCGCATGAATCGTGTTATAAGAAACAATTTGCGTGTACGCTTGAGCGACGTTGTCTCTGTACAAGCCTGTCCAGAAGTTAAATACGGAAAACGTATCCACGTGCTAGCAATGGATGACACTATAACTGGTCTCACAGGGTAAATCAGTATTTCCAAATATATTCTCTCCCCATGCTGTTTCATCATTTACATCTACACGTTTTTGTCACAGAAACTTATTTGAAGTATATCTGAAACCGTATTTCTTAGAAGCATATCGTCCCGTTCATAAAGACGATACTTTCATTGTACGCGGTGGTATGCGCGTTGTAGAGTTTAAGGTAGTAGAAACAGATCCTGGACCATTTTGTATCGTAGCTCCAGATACAATTATTCACTGCGAAGGAGATCCCATCAAGAGAGAGGTCGGTTCGACATAAATGTTATAGTTTTTTCTATTATTTAGTGTTGTTATCAGAATTAAAAATGTGCACGACACATTGTAGGAGGAGGAAGAGGCACTGAACGCTGCTGGTTACGATGACATCGGCGGTGTTCGCAAACAGTTAGCCCAAATTAAAGAAATGGTAGAACTACCACTGAGACATCCGTCTTTGTTCAAAGCTATCGGCGTTAAACCGCCTCGCGGCATTCTTTTATACGGCCCACCGGGCACAGGAAAGACTCTCATCGCTCGTGCTGTTGCAAACGAAACAGGAGCGTTCTTCTTCCTTATTAACGGTACGTTTTATTATTAAAGAAATTAATGTCTACTTTGAATTGTCATACGTTCGTTCTTGTTAACAGGCCCCGAGATCATGAGCAAGCTTGCCGGAGAGTCTGAAAGTAATTTGAGAAAGGCGTTCGAAGAAGCTGAGAAAAATTCGCCAGCTATAATCTTCATCGACGAGCTCGACGCGATTGCTCCGAAAAGAGAAAAGGCATACCTATTGATTATTTATTTTTAATTCATCGGCCATTCACGACGATTGATTATCGTATTTTTAATCTAGACCCATGGAGAAGTAGAGAGACGCATTGTGTCTCAATTGCTGACTTTGATGGACGGCATGAAACAGAGTGCCCACGTGATTGTAATGGCAGCTACCAATCGACCCAACAGCATCGATCCGGCACTACGTCGCTTTGGCCGTTTCGATAAAGAAATTGATATCGGGATACCGGATGCCACCGGACGTTTAGAGATCTTACGAATCCACACTAAGAACATGAAGCTGGCCGACGATGTTGAACTGGAAGAGGTCTGTACAACTTGACTTCGTAACGTACGACTTGACAACGTAACACGATCGATTTTGATTACTGAACTATAACTGTCTGTCACAGATCGCTGCTGAAACGCATGGTCACGTTGGAGCCGACTTGGCCTCGTTGTGCTCTGAGGCAGCGTTACAACAAATTCGTGAGAAGATGGATCTTATTGATCTGGAGGAGGAACATATAGACGCCGAAGTTTTATCGTCTCTTGCCGTGACTATGGATAACTTCAAGGTAAGTAACGATCTCCTGATTTCCTGATCTGAATTCTTAGATCCGTCTACTACAAATATTATTATGATTTAGTACGCCATGACTAAGAGCAGTCCAAGTGCTTTGCGAGAAACTATCGTGGAAGTTCCGACTGTTACATGGGACGACATCGGCGGTTTGCAGAACGTCAAAATGGAACTGCAGGAATTGGTGCAGGTAAGAATTCTCGTATGAATATACTCTAGTTTCACGATCGGAGTCGTACGATCATTTAATTATTATGTTACTTATGTCCAGTATCCAGTGGAGCACCCCGACAAATTCTTGAAGTTCGGCATGCAACCATCAAGAGGCGTATTGTTCTACGGACCTCCCGGTTGCGGTAAAACGTTGTTAGCCAAAGCGATCGCTAACGAATGTCAAGCGAATTTCATTTCCGTGAAGGGTCCGGAATTGTTAACGATGTGGTTCGGTGAATCCGAGGCCAACGTCAGAGACGTCTTTGATAAGGTAAGTAATTCGGTTTGAAAACGAATAGAACGCAATTTAATTACGTATGGAATTTCTAGGCAAGAGCAGCAGCTCCTTGCGTATTGTTCTTCGATGAACTCGACTCTATCGCCAAATCTCGTGGCGGTACATTGGGAGACGCTGGCGGAGCAGCGGATCGTGTAATAAATCAAATCCTGACGGAAATGGACGGAATGGGAGCCAAGAAAAACGTATTTATCATAGGAGCTACTAATCGTCCTGACATTATTGATCCTGCCATTCTACGACCCGGTAGATTAGATCAATTGATTTATATACCATTGCCAGATGAGAAATCTCGAGAAGCCATTTTCAGAGCCAATCTTCGAAAATCGCCTGTAGCGAAAGTAAGCGAACTCCCAACTTGTCTCCAGTTAGTCGCTTATACTTATGGTTTATGTTACAGGATGTAGATCTCACTTACATAGCTAAAGTGACGCACGGTTTTTCCGGCGCGGATATAACAGAAATATGTCAACGCGCGTGTAAACTTGCCATCAGGCAAAGCATCGAAGCCGAGATTCGGAGAGAAAAAGATCGCGCCAGTAATCCGTCTGCGTCTATGGATGTAAGATTCTACTCTTTCTTGAACACAATTTTGACTCGATATTTTAATTTTGTACTTTTCTATTAAAAGACGGATGAAGATGATCCTGTACCAGAAATAACTAGAGCTCATTTCGAAGAAGCGATGAGATTCGCGCGACGTTCAGTGTCCGACAATGATATTCGGAAATATGAAATGTTCGCACAGACCCTTCAACAATCTCGCGGTTTTGGTAGCAATTTCAGGTGAACAAAGGAAATTTTGCATCTATTTAATAAATAATCGATACACTGTAACTGTACCTCTTGTTCGTAGATTTCCGCAAAGTGGAGGAACCGGCCCTCAAGACACGACACAAGGTGATCCGACCTTCCAGGATGATGGGGACGATGATCTTTACAGCTAAGTCTTCATGTCTGTGTACCTCATTACAGTGAGCATGCGACAAAAGGGCCTGTCTATTCTACAAAAAATACTTTGTGTGTTATAAACACAAATTTTACAGAAAAGTAATTCTAAGAAATTGATGATACAAGAAGAAAAAAAATCCATAAATCTAATCCAATGTCTATATTCTGTGTAAAGTATATGCAATTCTACGTACGTAATTAGGGTAAAATTAAAAAAAAAATAATAAAAGTGAGCAGTAATTTGAAAGAAGACACGCACACTTTTTTAATATGGAAATTAAACGTGAAATAATAAAATTATGGAAACGATGTCACATCGCTGAGGACGAGATCAATTGGTTCTTCATTATATACTTTTAAATATAAAAAGAAATTAGTAACCTCTGAAAGCTATGTCACGATTCTCTGGTTCGAATTTTGTACATGCTGTAAACATGCCCTAATTTAATACGTTATTTTGTATATACATTGCATAGAGTTATACACGAACTTTCCGTTGTTCATAAGTTTTTTCTAATGTAATTTTATATTTGAGTTACTTACATAAAAAGAAACAATGTAATTGTGATTTTGTAACAGTGTTATAAATTTTTCCAAAACTTCATGTTTACATAGAGATAGACTCTTTTGCTACGTTGTCGCTGTATTTATAATTACATTTCATTGTTCGCAAATCTTGAGATTACAGTAATGTGAGAGTTCATGCCAATTGTCGGTGAAATTGTTGGAAGCGGCGATGTGTATCGGTGAATTTCCAGTCTGCTTGTAGTAGTAAATTTACTTACAAATTACCAAAGAATCTCTTAACTCCTTTCATTTTAGAATAAACTGTTAAGCTTAGTCGTTTTTGATAATATTTCTAATATTATTAAAGAAAAGACATACTTTTCCAAGTAGCGTTTTCTTAGTATCATTTAATAATCATTTTCGGAGTTACATTCTAAAATGATTCGATTACATTGATCAATGTCGAAATGTTCGATTGCCATTAGCTAAAATTATCTTTTACGTATTTATACAGCACTTATTACAAACTTTCGTACGACTCGCGAAACACAGCGTCTTGTTTTAAACTGTAAGTAATTTAAATTTTTCAACTATACACCAATACGCTACACATTAATGATTCACGATGTATATGCATATGTACAGTTCTTTAATATTTATTATTTATCTTTATAAAATTAAAATTATTTACTAAACAAGACGTTAAGTTCGTAGAAAAGCACCGAAAGACGTGGTACTGCGCAATGTCTCCGTATTTTTTAACAGTTGCATCACGTAAATTATTTAATTCATTCGTTTCTATCATATCGTTTTCGTCGATACGTGTTGTCCGTATCCTTAAACAAAGATCATACGACTGAGAGAAAATATTCTGTTACACCGGAAGTGAGAAGATCCCAAGAAGAGGACAGAAAGTAAGTGGCATCGCGAGAGGCACGAATGTATAAAAATCGAAAATTATGAAAGATTCGTTTCGTCGGGTAAGTATAAATTAGAAAGTCAAGGGGGGATACAAACAAGGTTACAGACAACACAAAGTTTGCAATGTACAAAGATTTTTTTAATTACAAACATTTCGATGAATATATCGATCTTCCTCCGTTCGTTTAATGTTAAAAAATAGAGAATAGAATACATAAAGAGAGCAAGCAAAGTATATGTGTTAGAGGACATAACGAAAAGTATGTGACAGAGTATAGAAAAAACGATTTGGAATTTCTGATCGACTTGCACAAATGCTATTATCTCTTACTGTACATACAGGAGTATAATAAATTTTCAAGTTACGTTTGATACTCTCTCTCTCTCTATATATATAATATATATATATGAATATAGAAAAATTATTGAGTAGGGTCTGATCAAGTGGAGAACAGATAAATGTCATGTTTCGTATAAGACGGAAACTTAACACATGCTACATTTAACAATTCTATCGTTATACTAATAATTATGATAACTCGGATAATTTTTTTTTCTTTTTTTCTTGATTTTAAATCAGATTTAATCACTATAGTCTTGTTAATTTTTGTCAACAGTAATAGAATCAAGTGATTTTAAACTGAATCGAGAATAGAGTAGCATAAAGTTCATTTTATTTTACATAATTATATAAATCTACTTTCACGTTTACACTATATATATATTTTTATATATATATGCATAATATATGAACTGTTTCATATATATAGAGAAAACATGAAGTATACGTTATCACAAATATTTCAGAATATTTCATTTTTAAAAAAAGTCCTTTAAAAACCTGTATTACACTTTTCTCAAAATATCAATTTATAATCCTTGCAAACCTTCGTTTTCTTTACATCGTTTCTTAAGAGAATAAGAATGTTTTATTAGTCACTGAACACAGAAGATGACAATATACGTATAATTACAATTAATACAATTACAGTAATCGAATAAAAAGATTAGCACACAATATTTATTTTTTTTTCAACTCGGGAAATATCATGTATAAAAGAATTTTTTTTTTAACGACGCGTCTAACATATGCAGCGTTCCATCGTATGATCACTGTTCCAAACTAAATAACAGTAAAAATACGTAAGACCTACTACGTACTGTCTTCCACGTAAATTTTCATTAAACAATCTTGCTAAATCTTCCCAAGCATACCTCGGCTCGACCGAGTACCTCGAATATTTTTATTTCTTTTACGCACGGCAGCGGAAACCGTGTAATCTTCGTTGAATTGCTACGGCTTCCTCTAATTGTAAGAGAATTCAACAGCATGCTCTCTGACAATAATAAAAGGGTTCTAATGTAAAATACTGATCCGTGTAACCAAAAGTAATGTAACAATTATTCCAAGTTCGTTATCTTCGGATATGACGTGAACATCTAAGGTATACAATATTTTATGTAACTTATACGAGTCTCCTCCCATCGCGACGATTTCGTTAAAAAAGAATTTGCTCCTTCGATTCCTGCGACTCGTTATGGATTTTCGACCTGTACCTGTCGTCTTTCATTTCTTCAATTTTCAATTACTGTCAGTATACGATTCTCACAATCAACTTTGTCGGAAATATTTTGATATGCCTTGTGCGCGCGCTCTGCACTCAATCCGTCCTCTGCGTGACCGGAGGGAATTCGGTGTCGTCTTTCAACCGGAACGAACCCGAAAATCCTGGCGGACTCTCAGTCGCTGCAATCATCTCGTGATACTTCTCTGACTCTATAAATCCATTTATGAATCGTTTTCAGTTACGATGAGGATGATCGTGAGACTGAAATTCTACGCCTGTCCTCCTTAGCACGATTCCAACATTACTCGTGGTTCAACCATAATTTTTAAGCTGTTTCTACTATGCATATCGTTATTTCAACAAAGTTGTTTCTTTTACTTCCGCTTCGGAGTAGACTTATAATTCGCTTCTCTATTTCAATGTTGTCTCAGGCGTTCTCGCTTAGTTTACAGATATCTCTCAAATATTCTACTAAACTCTGATTACTTTTCCGAGACTAAGGAGTACAGGTATGATACATGACACCCTTCTCATATCAGTAGGACTCGAAGACATTATTTACTGTACACGTATACTGAATATGAATATAATATGGAATGTGTATAATGGAAAAGTGTTGCGATTGTTTTCATCCATCATTCATGATGCAGTGAAAACGTTTGTTAATGCGTTGTTAATAATTAAAAAAAAAAAATACACGTTAACATTACTTTGATAATGTGCATATACGCGTGTAGGTAAGTGCTTAGTTAAATTTAATGACACTTGCAAGACAAAAGGGATCAGTCTTTCAAATTAAACATTTTCAAGTTATTAGTTCAAGAATTATAAATGGAATTTCCTTATTCGTCTTATCGTTCTCTACTCGTGATTAACTAATTTTTAAACGCATAATGTTAAACAATGATATTGTTATTGAAAATATAGACAGAAGTTAAATTGTAACAGTTGAACATAGGATGTGCAGATTTTCCATTGCATTTAATTCAATGAACATTAATTTTTAGTCAATTACTCTTTAGTATCGTCCCAAACTTACGATGATGAATTAATCATTTAATCTCCCTAAGTGGTGCAAGCTATTTTTTCCGTGATCATTTGTAGATTTCGACAATATTCCTTTTTAATCGAATGGGACTATCATCTCTCCAACACTTTAAACGATGGAGCGTCCTATTTAATAAGAGAAACTTCGATGCCGCTGTTAGAAATAGTCTCGGAGAAAAACAATTCATAATTATCCTGGGTCATCCCTTATATTAAAAACTTTAGTACCCAAACCATAATTGTTATCAAATATTACTCTGTCATTCTTTTCCTTACTGCACGAATAAAAAAAAAATAAATCTTTATAATAAAGCGAGAATTGCGGTGAAACAAGTACGGTCGACCAATATATTTAAAATAGAATGTAATGCAGAGAATGAGTGAGAAAAAAAAGCGAGGGACAGAATAGAGGATATACCAGTACCTGACATGGAGTCTGGCGAGCGGCCGCGCAACACACCCGCGTAGCTATTTATGTAGGCTTCGGTGGAGATAATAAAAAGAAAAAAATTACATGAAGTAAGGTCAATTTTTGGGGCCCCCCTTTAGCCCCTGGAGAAGCTGCCTATTCAGTCGAGGGGGGTTAGAAGCAAGGAAATAGAAAATATAAATAAATAAAAAAAAAAATGGCAAATAGCGCAAAAGGATTAGACAAGTTTTTCGTTATTCATCCGTTTCTAAGTCTAAAATCCTACTTCGATCTTCGACAAAATTGGATAGAATAAGAATACGAGAACTCGGAATATTGTTTTCGACTTTCGAATCCAGTCTGTTCGATAGATTGGTAATTAAAAATGATTTGAAACAATGTCCCAAAACCAACTAATAAGTTTCGTACAGTAAGAACGCATAACTAAACTAATAACAAAATTTCTCTATATTAGTTTAATTCCCATAGAGAGTGAACAGTAATTCAAATAAATGTAATTCATTTGTAAACTGAATAACTCAGTTTTACATGGAGTAAATACGTTGACTTAAGAAAGACGTGAAAACCACTTGATTCCGTAAACTAAATCGGGTTTGATCGACTATGTAAATTAATAAGCTATATAATTGTATAAAATCTACACATCTTACATCTCGATTCGAGCATCTGCACATCCTTAATACGTGTGTGAGATTCTTAAATAAACCAGGAGCATCATCTTTATTAAAAAAAAAAATGAAAAGATATTCAATGATTGTCTCTACTAAAGCTTAATTCCGATTATAGGCTTTTTCAAATTGAAATCGACTGTAAAACTGAGTCTTTGAACACAGAATGTCTCGTTAGAATACAGAGTATCCCAGCATTGGCAGTACAAGCGAGGACAGAAAAAGTTCCACTAGTGCAAGTAATTGCAACAGTTTCTGCAATAATAAACTGAGCCATTAAAATGACGTATATTATTCGTTTCGCTGTAGAAATAAATGACAGCTCATCGCATTGATAAAGAACCGACATTACGTATGACAGTAATAAAGTGTCATCTGTTTCGAAATTCGTTTGAGCACTTCTTAATGGGTAGAGAATGTCCAAAGCGGATTTTTTCATAAACGAAAAGAGCCAATTCTGTATTTTAAATTTATTTTCCTCCTCGCTTATTGGGACACTCTGTCTAACGATTAAAACTATATACTTAGTTATATAATTATTAGTTAGATGCTTTATATATCGTTACGTAATTTTGTTACTGATTTAGTTATGCTGTTTAAACAACGTTATACTTCTGTAGTAGATGTACATATATCTTACAGTTTCAATATACAAATTCAATTTACTAAAATAGAAGTATCTTTAGGACTGTCCGGCAATAGTAAAGATTTTATGTGTTTCTACGAATTGTTTAGTATTATAAGAAATTGCTAATTGTAATGTTGGTTGTGAGTCACTCTATTATTCGTAAATTTTAACATGGAAACAAAAGAGTACATTAAAGAAAAGTAGAATCTTCACGATTCTTAATATAAAGGACATTTATCGTAATACACAATATTCATTTATATTTCTGTCTACATGTACAAAAATATATGTATGTCAGTTTAATCGTGATGCATTACACGTCGTGTTTAATTCGTGTGTAGTTAAATTTTGGAAATTGCGTGCAACAAGTGTATCCTAATTTGTTTTATAACAGAAAGACGCTATAGTGTTGCAAAAGTTCACGTTGCCAAGAATAATCCATTTACTCTTGCAGATATACAGTTTCATTAATCTTATATTATTAATTATAATAATGTATAGTAACATATAAAAAATCACGTTTTATACACAAATAAATGCACGTGTGCATTAACAAAAGATGATGGACAAGTTGTATGTGTATATATATATATATATATTGTTTGTGTACGTAAATGCTGCACGTGCGGCATTTACAACGTATGTTGATTTATCTTAAAAACAGAGGAGACAATGCCAAACTTAATCTGTAAATGTTTTAACGGATCAGTAAAAATTTTCTTTAAGCGTTACGTGATTTTTAAATAATAATTCTATCGGTACGTAAATAGAATTAAGTAAATTAAAGTAAAAACGAATATCGATGTGTAGGCATGTTAATGTGTCAGATCCGTATGAATGATAAATATCTCTTATCGTCAACTCGGTCGATTGTAAAAAAACTTATATTAACTTTTAATTATACTAGAACGTTTTTGATAATGCCATACCTGTATTTTGTACTATACGCGCAGTGGTTCCTGAAGAGTTCTCTCCAGAACCTGATCCAGCAGTGGAGACACTAGCACAGTCCACTTCGTCCTGTTTGCCGTCTAATCTATAAATTTAATTCATACACCGAATTCGTTAGCTATCAGAATATACGAAACCACTATTAAGGCACGATTAAGGCACGTTTTAAGGCACGATTAATTGTTAAAAGATACGAACCTGTGTTGTTTAACCAATGTACAGTCACCACCTTCAGTTGAATCCAAATTGTAAATATACAAGTAACCCTCGGCACTAGCCACCAACAACCTAAGTACTTTGTGTATGCTGCGAACATGCATTTGGCATATAAATATAAAAAGTATTCCATACAAAAAAAATACGTTTGTGTAGATGATATTTGTGTTCTCGAGTGAACTTACACTGTGATGGCACAAACATTTTTTAATCCTTGAAATGGCAAATGGACGCTGGCGAAGGCACGTCCCTGATTGAAAACATCGGTTACTTGAGAAGGCAAATAGTTAGCTGAGGCAGATACGGCCTTTGTCAAATATCCCATCCAAGTTTGAGATTCCTCCGTTGTCTGTTTTAATCTGAACGATAGCAAAACGCGATGTAAATACGGCAGTTTACATAGCTCGTTTGAACAACGGGAAATAGATTACGTACGCTTCTTTTGGCTCCTCCAGCTTGAAAATATGTACCGTTTCTGTGTTACTCGAGCAGCAAAGGAACATCGAGTTCATACTGAAAGCAAGGCTGCTTATGGACACGCACCGCTTAACTCCACGCCGGAACTCAAATAGTTTTGTACCATCGTGAACCTTTGGAGATACAAAGGACTTTCAGAGACGCGTTCGAATTTAGGAAGAGAGCCAACGATGAGACTTACTTGAAAGACTCTAATTACTGTACCCTTCTCGGAAGCGGTGGCTACTTTGGTACCGTTAGGATTAAATGCAAGTGCTGCCAATGGGCTATCGTGTGCAGGAATCATTGTTTTAGCTTGCTGAAAATAATAACGACCATTTAAGTTCACGATCCCTGCCTCCGTTGCTGGACCTTATAATACTCACGAGATTAATTGCATCAAATATTTGAACTTCACCGATTGTATTTGAGCCTGGATAAGCTAGATAGCAATTTTCACTAAATATCGATAGTGTACACAGGCCTGCTAGATTGGGTGGTGTGTCACGGATTGTGTGCAACACCCTCATGTCTCTTATATTATGAATGTATAATGATTCTTCGAGGCATACTACTAATCTCTGCAAATTTATATTGTTAAGAGTATTTACGTATAAACACGATCAATGGATAAAGGAAACTCACTGCTCTGTTCAGTTTAACAGCCAAAATAGTATTGGAATAACTGTAGTTGCAAATTTCTGTGCCTTTCCTGAAGTGACATACTTTCAGTTTACGAGGTGATCTTAGACTGACCACTGCCACAAGACTACTGCTGAATAATCGCTCAACGATATAAACATCCTCAGTATCTGCAGTTCATATAATAATTGAAACAACTGTCTGTATAACAGGCATGATCATATCGAAGAAAATTAAGTCTCCGATTTAACGAGAATCTGAACGATCAAATGTTAATTACCATTTTCGTATATCTTCTCAAGATTATCAACAGAATACAAAGAAAAGATTTTACAACCTGCCTTCGATCCTACGGCCAAAGATCTGAAACGAATTACAGATTAAGCGATCCTTATTAATGACACACAGCAGTTTCAACATACGTTTAAAAACTTTTAAAAGCCCTTCGTGAAAAACAAGACGCGAAGTTTCAATAAGTTATCTGTTAGATACGTACATTGTTGTGCAAATTATAGAAATACACGACTATTCTTTATTTTAAATCAACTTGGAACGTTAACGACGAGTTTAATTGAAACAATAGAACAGCCAAAGAAATACGAGGAGTCAGTATGTATAAAGACTCTTACGGGACACGACGTAATCTATTTGAATCATCGGTATATCAGTAATACGCAATTAAAAGGTAAGAGGAGATGAAGAACGTAAGGAACGGAAACATTACAATGAATGCAAATATATACGCTTCGTGCGAGTGCGTAAAACGCGTAGGGATGTTGTTACGTCCGATTGATCGGAAACAAAGATAGGTCTGTATTATCAGGTGCGAACGTATTTCGTTTCCTTTTTAAAGCGTGAAGAGATAAATCATTATGGCTCGTATAGAAGCGAGGAAGGTTAGGGAACAAAGGACGACGTCCTCAGAGTTTGGCCAGTCGAGAGTGCGACACTTACGTGCAATCCTGATTGAAGTTAACAAAGAAAACACGACTTTGAGGATCAGTAGTCTGATTTGCGAGGTTCATTAGTCCTGATATACTGTATTTTAATCCTTGCGTCAATACATCCACGTTATGCACGAGATTTTGCATAAATCGGACCAGCAGGCAACGCAATCGACACTGTATCCACTTCGTTCTTAATTTCTTTTTATATCCTTTTCTCTCTTTATTTTTATTGCCCCTCTTCGCCTGTTGTCCCTCTCGGTTTTTCTTGCACGTACGTTAATACAAATACACGCACGCGCACGCTTATACAAGATCCGTGAACAGATGTCGAACCCCTGACGTCGTCGAACGATTCCTACAAGTGACTATATACTCGCGGCAGTGGCAGAATACTACGTTACGCGCTTCTTCTTGTTCATATACTGCAGTCCATTTCCATGTATTGAACAGCTGACAGTCTCTCTAAGTCCGCCTAAACTTAGGGAACGATGAAATTGAAACATTAAATTTTATTTTCCACTTCCTATTTCGCACGTTTTGTTGTCATAACAACTGGTCACGATTGACACGATGATAACGCTAATTTTTTACATCTTTAATCTCTCGTTTATTGTTGCTGCACTAATGGAATTATTCTGTACTCCTTTCTGTTATTTATGAAACAATGACCAGCTATTGTATCCTCAGGATACACGATACGACTGTTCCTTGCTCAAAATGGATCACTGAATTAATCCAATATATTCTATAATATTTTGTGTTACTAACGTGTAATTAATTCATTGAATGGACGCGATAATTGTTATCTTTTTCCTGACGTTTCCCTTGTACGTATAGCATAAGTATGTATGCATTTACATACACATGTATCAATCGGACCAATCCTGTTGCTTCCTGTATTTCTATTCCTAATTCCTATCAATTCCTATATTATTGTCTACATCTGTTCGTATCGTGTTGTATTTAAAAGTGTAAGATCTGTCAAAAATGGGTAAGAAAGGAAAAGCAGGAGGAAGTAATTTAGGAAAAGCTTTGATCAGAGATCGTTTCGGGTCATCGAGGAATAAAAGAAACGCCGAGTCGTCTATGGTAAAGTAATACCTTTAATCTTAACCTGTGGATTCCTGTAACACGTGCGAGAAATCAGCTGGCACAGAATAACTTTCTCAACACTTCGATTAGCTCCATACCTCCGATTTAAACGATGGCTATGACTGGGGTCGTCTTAATCTTCAATCCGTCACGGAAGAGGATTCGTTTCAAGAATTCCTCTCCACCGCCGAGTTAGCTGGAACCGAGTTTCAGGCCGAGAAGTTGAACATTAAATTTGTCAATCCGAAAAGTGGTATTGGATTGCTCTCGAAGGATGAGAGGACGAAGGTTTTGGAGTCGCAGGAAAAGAACAGAGCGTTATTGAAAATACCAAGGAGGCCGAAATGGGACAATTCCACCACTGCGAACGAATTGCAAAGCAGAGAAAAAGAAGAATTTTTACAATGGAGACGTTCTCTTGCCGTACTCCAGGAAGTGGAAGGATTGATGCTGACTCCGTATGAAAAGAATCTGGAATTTTGGAGGCAATTGTGGAGAGTGGTAGAACGCAGCGATGTCATTGTACAAATCGTAGATGCCAGGAATCCGCTCCTCTTTCGCTGCGAAGATTTGGAGGCATATGTCAAAGAGATAAATCCCAGAAAGATGAACATGATATTGATTAATAAGGCAGACTTCTTGACGGAAGAACAGCGACAAGCCTGGGCAAGATACTTTACAGACATTAATTTGAGAATAGCATTATTCTCTGCCACGTTGGCAGCTGAGAAACAAAAATTAAGAGATATCATGGAAGAAGAGAACTCCGGTGATGAACAATCTTGCGAAACAGACGATGAGGAGGACAGAACTGATGACAGCGATTTATCGTCGTATAATTCAGAATTTGCCACGGACAGCGAATATGAAAGTGCCGACGATGGTAGTTACACAATTGTTGAAAATGAAGAAAATAATTCGAAGAGCAAGGAACCTAGTTTAGAAGAATTAAAGCCTTCAGCAGAGGAGACAGTTGAAAAAGTAATAGACGATACGAAGATAGAAAATTCGTCTGAGTTACTAACTAGAGACCAGTTGGTATCGTTCTTCAAAAGAGTTTACAAGGGTGAGACGTACACGAAAGAAGTGACGACAATCGGTTTAGTAGGCTACCCAAATGTAGGAAAAAGTTCGACAATAAATGCTCTATTAATGGACAAGAAGGTATCGGTGTCGGCAACGCCGGGCAAAACAAAACATTTCCAAACCCTTTTTCTTGATAAGGATCTGCTCCTCTGCGATTGCCCCGGGCTGGTGATGCCCAGTTTCGTTAGTACCAAAGCAGAGATGATTTTGAACGGTATATTACCAATCGATCAAATGAGGGATCACGTGCCTCCTATTACGTTACTCGGTTCTTTAATACCAAGGCACGTTATAGAAGATCTTTATGGAATTATGATACCGCCACCGCCAGAAGGAGAAGAACCCGATCGTCCTCCGACAGCAGAAGAAATTTTGAACTCTTATGGATGTACGTTCTTAAGAATGATAATTTCGACATATATCAGTTCGTAACGCAATTTCTTCTTCCGACAGATAATAGAGGTTTCATGACGCAAAACGGACAACCGGACAATCCACGTTCGGCGCGGTATCTTCTGAAAGATTACGTGAACGGTAAACTGTTGTACTGCGTCGCGCCACCGACAATTGAACAAGAGAAATTTCACACGTTTCCACCAAGAAAACGAACGATTTTCGTGAATAAGCATTTGCCGGCCAGGACGGTGCGCGCGAGTAAAGGTAGTAAAACTACGACCGAGGACGTGGACAAAGTGTTTTTTCAAAATAACACGTCGGACGTACACGTGAGAGGAGTGGTTGGAAAAATGCAGGGCTTGTTCAGAACAAATTTCCAGTATGTAACATTATTGTACATTTATTATTCGACTTTTGTATAATTATTGACAATGATCTCTCATGTAATATAATAATATGTGTGGGAGGATGTACACAAACTTGATTTTTTATTGGCTTCCTTTGTTCCAGCGGTACAAGATCAGCGATTGGTTCTACGCAGAGTCTGCTGATCGAGGCGAAACCGTGGAAAAAGATTAACAAACATACCAACAAAAAGAAACGGGAGAAAACGAGGAGATTGTACGCTCATCTTGATGAACATTGATTCCTGTTATTGCCGCGTTATCGGGTGAATTGAAGGCCTTCTCGCTATACAACAGCGGATTATATTTTGTAATATACAAATCTCTAAGAGTATAAGCGCATCAGATTGTATCGATTCTAGTACTGTAAACACATATACATATAAGAATAGTTCACTGTTGTATTTATATGCGTATACATTATAAAATTAAGATATTTCGTAATTTATAATATATTTCATTATTCCTTTTATATTTCTCTACTTCTGTTTATACTGAATCATTAGATGAACGCCAGCGGACTTGGTCCAGTACATCTTGATACGAGTATAATATAAACACAATACTTTTCAAACGATTCTTACGTGGAAAGCAGTAAGTCGATAAACAGGAAGCACGGACCGAATTCTTATTAGTCGATCTTCAGAATTCGTTCCACATAATCTGACGCAGAGAATGTGGCGGTATATTTGTGGTCAATTATTTAGTCGGCATTTATAAGTTAAGTCGTTGATGAACACCAGATCCTTAATACGGAACTTTGCATCTCAATAGAAGAGCACTGTGTGCAAGATCGTTCTTGCGAATTTTGATTCAAACTCGTGAAGGAGTTCGTCTATATCGTTATCTAAGTCCTCACTGTTAGCCAGCTGGAAAAACAAATATATTGTTTGAAAAACTGATGCTTAAAGTGTGGTATACGATCATAAATTTAAAGAAACATCGAAATTACCACAGTGACAAGTTCGCAAATGAGAAACGATCCAACTGTAGCTTCTTCGTGATTATCCAGAATATCAATGTTGATCAAATGTACAGGCTGATTATCCTCTGGAGTTCTGGATTCCATGCATTCTATAACTTGATCGTACACACGCTCCTCGCATGTAATTAAAATATCGAATTTCTCCTTGGACAATTGAAATCTCTCTGGCCTAGGCTTTATTCTCCGATTCCTGTCTAACATGTGCAGCAAACCGTTTTGCGTATAACTGAAAATGCAGTTAAGGAACTTTAGCTGTCATTAAACGAAGAAAAGATAATAATTAAATGATTTATATGATAAGAAGTATACTATTGTTTATCTTTCGATAAGAGATCATTATAGATTTCATCGTATGAAGTCCCGAAGTCGTATATGTTTGGACGGTCCGGAGCGTTCCCAGGAAGTTTTACTTTGTCACCGGTGCCAAATGACTTAACATTAAACCCCTTTTTACTGAAAAAATAAGCAAGAATACGTCTCAGTTAGAGAGCATACATTGATTTACAATCTAATTAACAGTCGTTATTGTCGATTACCTCAAGAAAGCATGGGCTTCCATGCTTCGATTCATATTGCTAGAGCATATTACAGCTACGCTGATAGAGTTGGGCGCTGGCATTTTTCCGGATAGTTTAATAATTACGTTATAAAAGGAAACGTGAAATGTCAATTAACCTCGGCGGATCGTTATACGCTGTCACGTACGGTACATTTGTCAACGTTGCATAAAATCTCGAGTAGAACGCGACGATCTTTGAAGTAATTTTTCTGTCAAATATATTCGAATGTTTAATCGCGGAAGGACGTGGAAATTTGTATTCGCGATTCGAGATGTGTAGTAATTCGTGTAAGCGTTTTCCACTTATCGCCTTCTCATTTCCTTCGCAATGGAAAGCGTCCCCACCCCTGCTACCTCTCGGCGAGCTTCAGGCGTGCTCGCCATGTTGGCGCCACCTACGCTCGTTCTAGAAGATCTCGCGAGTTTCAAATCGACAGTCGTTAACTAAGATGGCGTCTTGTTCAGTGAATCCTTTATCGACGAACGTTTGGCGACGGATTTAATCAGCTTCCAGTCGGGTAATTTCACGTTCCATGAATTTCACGCGCATTTAAAGGTAACGGAAGGTAACGATTTACGATATAAGTACAAATATTTTACGATATGCGAGCTGTATATCGTATGCGTCGTATTTCTTTGCCCTTGGTGCATCCTTCTTTTCCATTGTCGTTTATCAGTGTACGTGCAGTGTAAAGTATTCAAAACACATTATTTGTTTGCCCGGGCAGACACGTTCGTTAATTATTAATCACCGGAAGAAAATTCAAGGTAAGTGAATTAGAAATGTATAGGAATATGGCTTCGTACGCGTAGATCAGATATAATGGTATACTGGTTCGTTCTGTACAAACATATAGGGTGTAAGTGAACGAGGAACGGTGGCCACTTTCGCCAGGAAGAAAATCGAGAGGAAGTAAATGGTCTCTGGACTTCGTTGACCAGTGAACTTGACAGAGGAGTTTCAAGACAGCGATGCGGTGAGTCAAAAATTCATTAACGAAACGGTAATAATTATGTTGTTAACCTTTACGTATTCATGGGTATTTTAAATGATTTAACGAATGCGTACATAATATGTAAGTAAATGGAAAAGTTCTAAAGTGAAAATAGGAATTAGAACGTCCGTATTGTAGTGATAATCGTCTTAATTTTGAAAGTACAATTCGTCGTGTTCGTCGTATCTTTTAAATCCGGTATCTGCGCATTTCGAACGTTTCGATTCGTACGATGTCGCGCGGCCGCAGATCTGTTGCAAAATCGCGAAACAACGAGCTAGCAACGATAATGAAAATTGCGGTACGGCAGCTCGAATTAACTCGGAGCTCGAGTTTTCATCTCGACGAGACTTTAATTTCGCGAACGACCGATCCTTGTAGATGTTTCTCAACTCGTCCCCTAGAAGTAATAATTAGGAAATTCCGATGTGAACTTAATTGACAGATCGTCCCTTGGTATGCGTCGATTATTTCAACGTGAAGAACGAAATTCCTTTCCACCGTCGATCATTCCTTAGATCGTCGTGACTGTCGTTCTGTGAGCAAATCGATCGACATAACTAATTTAGAATCGCAGTTCGTCTTTTCGTATAGTTCCAACGACTCGCTTCGGAATAGAGCGAGATTCTAGTCTGCCTTTCGTTTTAAAGTTGCTTATATATTTCTCGACGAGAATAGTCTCTTTGAATCGATCTCGTCATGCACGTGGGTGATAATAACTGGCATCGAGAATCGGAAAAATATTCGTATAATCAAATAAACGAGTGCCTCTTTGTCTTCGAAAGGAAGGCTTCGTTAATAGGTGTCAAACGCGATAAAAGGTATCGACGCGCGGATGTTAGAAATTTTATAAAGACGCCAGTCATGAATTTAAATTAAAGGATGCGCATGATCGGAACAAAAGAACCTTGTGAAATGCATTAAACGTGTTTCACTGCTCGAATGCATGTTTCTATCGATCAGTGGAGTCGTGAAATACGGTATAATCCTCTCCTTGAATTTATACGACGTTCAGGAACCAAGTTTTTCCGAAGTGTACACTGGAATTCGTGTTTACATCAGATTCGCTCATATCACGGATTTTAATGTATACTTTTCTTACGTCCCACTGCAATCCAATCGTGCTTTATCGTTCTTCAAGCTATCGTCGCATCTTGCGATATTAATAAGAAATAAAGAACGTCGACCAAGTGTTTCCTCGTTATGTCTTTTCGATCCAAGGTTAACGCAGTTACAAAATACGAAGGCCTCAGATTTTTTAACAAGTAATCATACGATTTCTGCTGTAATTATTGAATTAAAGCACACGCTTCTGATCAATCTCGGAGATACCATTGTAAGCATACGTAGAGACTATTTTACTAACAAATGAAACGCAACCTTCGCCGGGTCTTATCATCGGATCGAAAGGAAACGCCACCGTCACCTTGTTCCCTCGTTCATTATTACCACGCGCACGTTGCCCACCGGCGACTCCTCCTTTCGGTTATCGCGGATCCTTGTAAATTATTCCATGTGTGTAACGCCAAGACGGATGTCCTTTAACTTATGGATATTGGTGACGTTCCTCCGGCGTGAGCCATCTCGGCAACGTTTGACGCAGTTCGCCTGCATAAGACAGAAACGTCTTAATTATAATCGAAATTATCTGGCACCCTCGCCAAATGAATGCCGTATCGTTAACGAACTGCCAAGTGCTTTCCGAACGCGACGCAGATTAACTATTATTTGAACTGTTTAATTGAAATGTAACGTCCTGCATGTAAATCTCCTGCACTTCGTTCCAACGTCGATCTTCGGTTCGCGTATCGATCGAGGATAGACCGTGACACGAATCGAATCGACTCGCTCGATGACATTTTACTAGCCGATTTTACGCTTTCACGGGGATGCGGCCAAGAGATCTTCGCTCGATCGGAGAACGCGTTCCGCGTTTCCTACCGCGAAGACTTATAAAAAATTCGCATCCTCGATTGACTTCCGCTACTTTCATCGATGATCCCGACGCGAATCGATTCCCTCGAAACGAATCTCCTTCCATTCACGTTGTTCGTCTTTGACGTTCGATATCTCATTTTGTATAGGAACAAATGTACATAAATCGGAGATGACGTATGTAGTTCTAATGAAGTTTATTGATACGCGTTAATATTCGCAATTTCGATGGGGCATTGGCCCAGCGTCTACCCAAGAGACGTTCACGTGTCTACGGTTCGTCGTATCCTCGGGAGTCACGGTAATTCTTAATTGAACGCGGCCTAGAAAGTGGAAAAGTATCGTTTAGAGCGCTATTATGTTACACGCGTCACGGGTAAAACGTTTTCCCCCACGGTTCGGTCGCACGTATCAAAATTTTCATCGACCAGCGACAGCTGAGCGTGTCGAACGACTCGTGTCTTTCTCGCGACTGGGGGGATAATAAAGATCCATAGAACGATATCGTCGCGTGCACACGCGTGACGTAACGGTGTATAGTGTTACGTTGTTAATTGAAAGTGAGGCTTCTCTTTCATCTTTCCAACATAGGGATCGTCTGTACAGTGGCTAAGAAAATTGCCATTGTGTTTCTTTTAACGTTTTAAAGAGAATCGAGCTGATATCGTAAAACGTATTATGTCACAGATAGAATACGTCTATTAGTCATCGCTTTAAGCACTTTTCTCTCTCATGTTTGTCCGTCAAAAAATGATTCGAGCACCTCTAATTTGCATAGTTCCAGGATTTATTAACGCTAAAACTACCGGCCCCTCTTGATAGATCTAGTGTCTAAATTAAATCACAAATTAAATCTCGTGAAACATACATGTTCATAATCATTTCTGTATCGCACGCTTCAATTGAAGTTCGTCGAACATGAATGTTTCTTTGGTAATCGGCAATCGGTGAAGACAATAGAAAACGAAAGCGTTGTTATCTTTCTGTTCCACTATCTCGTTAACCTGTTAGCGACCGAACAGGGAATCGAGTACGTGGAGCAAAGTGTAAAAGCATGAACCCGAAGATAAATATAGGGAATAGGAAGTGTTAAAAGTTAAAACCGATTCGCTCCTCTTTGCTTTCTCCGAAAGACCTTTCGTACGCGCGAAAGCGACGCGACATTCTGCTCCTAGAATTCCTTTCTCGTCGCTCTCGACTCGAACTGTAGCGAGGAAATCATATTTACTCGTATCGTATCCTTTATCCTATCACCGTCCTGTATCATTATTCCACATCACCGTTGCATGTGCTTACGTGTACACTTCCGTTCGTGAGCTTTTACGATGCATTGGAAAACATGCAGGACCCATCTATCGTATGGTTACGATTACATGCTTTTTTTAATGATTTAATTGAATCATCGAATTGAAATAGCCTTCGATGGATAATAGTTTGAAATGTTAGTCGGATCTTTTTATGAGCAGCAATTATTCAGATGTGTTCTGAGACTTATGGTGTGACACATGACATGCCACGGTGATACGATACTATCATTAAAAAAAAATTAATTCCTTCTAAAAGGATATTATCCCATAAAAGGAAGGCGAATTATTCTTCGTGGCAAGGCGATAGAAAGACAAATCACCTCGTTCACCGTTTAATCACCTCCCATCTTGTATTTCCATTCTTTCAATTCAATTAAATGACTCATCGGCGATCCAGACCTGCGAACGTTCGACTCTAATTACCTTTAAATATGCTCGCGCAATCGTTATCATCGCCAATTAAGGTTTTCGGCATACTTTCTCAAGCTATTCTCGAGAAGCGTGTCATTTTATATGGAGGATCGATTAGCATTCGATTTAGAGGCATTCGTCCGACCGTTCATATCTTCGCGACGCCATAAACGTGCGAGAATCGTGTTTGCGAAAGTGGAAGAGTCGCGCAAGAATTTCGTTCGCGCACCTTTTTCAGGTGTTATATAGGCGAGTTGCGTAAGTGCTCGTTCAGAGATCACCGGTTTGCGTTTATCTATGAGAAATCCGTTTGGCCAGCTGCCTTCGACGCGTTCGCACGTGATTCGATTGAAGAGGACGTGTCCTAGACATCATACGTGCTTCTTCACATGCCCAAGCCGAGACCAGCCTCTGCGTGACAAACGAATGTTTCGTTCGTGAGGCTCGGATTCGAATCGTAGCGCATCTCCACTCTTCTTAGAACCAGGAATGGTTAACGCGGTGTAACTCGTTCACTTCGTTCGACATTTAATATCTCGAAATCGGCGCGCGGCAACGCCGAGGCTTCTACGATTAAACGGCAATCATCAATTTCCGGCAATTGTAACGAGATAAATCAACAGATGATCGCGCGCATCCAACTTTCTGTCGTTACCGGGGTTCGCGAAGGATGCAGAATTATATAACGGGACCGCGTTATTC